AAATTCCTTTGCACTTATCTTAAGATTTAAATTTGAAAATTTTCATAGAAATTCAAAGTTTTTAATTGTTGAGACATCCTCTAAGAAATATACATTTTCAATTGATTTGTTTTTCATAATTTAAATATCAAACTTATTTTAATTTAGTGACAATTTTCTTCTCTTTGAAGTAAAAAATCTTGGTTTTGAATTTAATGACAAGCGGGTGAGATATAATAAGGGATAAAATATTTATATTTCTCATTGTATAACCAAAATAAATAAATAAATAAATATATCTATATATATATAATATCAAACTCGTTTGGTGCATTACCTGATGGAGGCTAACTCGTCCTAAGATTGCGTACGTTTAAGTTCAACCATCATTACCATCTCTAGCTACTCCAATCCTATTGGTTCTTATCAAAATCCAATATAGAAAAAGATGCCAATTAATTAAGTAGCAATACTAGTATCATCTTCTCGGTATAAAAAATGTTATAGATAAATCATAATAATATCAATGTTCTTGGTCGAAAATTAATGCTTTAGATGAATCATCATTGAAAACTAAAGAATCCGCGTCTCATGCTAAATGACTCAAACTCATTGGCTCAAAGCATCAAAACCCAATTGTATATGGAGCATGAACTACTAGTTTAAACCAGTAATTGATGAACTGAAGTCAGGGATGATATCACCTCCAAGCGAATATTTCCGACTTTTAGCTGGTCATTTTCATTTATACCCATGCCTCCTGGAGGGGAATCTGCTAATCGTCCATTACATTATTCTAAATGAAATCATTCGTTATTAATTAATAGTTAACCATGATTAATTCGTACTTAAAATTCTCAAGCTCTGGTAAGGTTGAGCTGTATCGAGGGATTATAAATATTAAACCCCATGGCTGGTCCCTTAATATATCGGTTTGTATTTAGATTTATGTCGGTCCAATTGTAATATTGGAAACTTAACTAGAGATTTCTTTAATTATCAATGTCAAGAAAACACGAGAAGATAATTAATTATATATGTTATCACATTCTTCTTCTTTAATAAGGAGTAGTTTTTTATTCTTTGGTAGTATACAGTTAAGATTTGCAAGAAGACGAATTGAATATGAAATCCATTCTCAGTGCAGCAAGATGACAATGGCACCAAGAGAAAAAAAACTAAATAGACTTAGTTAGGGAGTATTGATCCGTAGCTACAAGTGTTGGTTTTTTCTGTCTTTTAATATTTTAAAAATATAAAAATTATATTTAATATATTTAATATTTATTTTGATTAACATTTTATACATTTTTATAATAATAATAATAATAATAATAATAATAATAATAATAATATAAAACATTAAAGTATTGAGAAGCGTTGTCAAATGAAGCTATAACAGCATGGCATTCTCAAGGGAAGATGTCTCTATAATTTACAAATGCCAGCTCTGCCAATTTTTGGCTGAGACCCTGCCAATTCGAGAACTGTAAATCTAGAATCATGAATGTAATGCAATAATAAGTATATATCTTTATTTTTTTAGGTTTATTTCCCCTTGAATTCTAGTTTACTGCCTTAATTATACATGTTTGGGGAGCAACACAAACGTTAATTAATTCCTCCAAAATTTGAGATACTTTCATTGTGCCTGACGTCTGAACCATTTTGATGTGAAAGAAGTTTTCACAGGTTTTGGAGGATAATATGATCTCTTCCTGAAATCTTGTCATCCTTAAGGCCTGTTTGGTTTGTAAAAAATGGACCATGATTGATGCACACCCAGATCCAACACTCGGGTGTGCACCCTTCACATAAAAAAAAAAAAAAAAACCGGGTGTTCTTCATTTTTTTTTTATGCAGAGTGTACACACCCGGGTGTTGAATCCGGGTGTGCACACATCATTTTCCGTAAAAAATAGATGGAAGGGGAAGTAGGGAAACTTATTTTTATTTGGATAGAAAATATTAAAGAAGAAGAGAAAGAATCAGCTTTCCTTATTTAACCTTTTACTTTTATTTTCTTTATTTATTTTAATTCATTTTTTTGAGACTAAACAAGTTTTATTTATTTATTTATTTTTACAAATGATACATTAAATTCATTTAAAGAAATAATTTACTCATGATTTTATATCACAATATGTGATGCTACTAATTGTGACAACCACATGATTTTAATACTACATAAACCATGTTTTATATATTGCATGGAAAGAGAAAGGATGTCACTTTTAAACATTATCATTGCTGAAATAGTGGCCCAATATACATTGAGAATTAATTAAAAGGATCTGTTAAGCGTGTCCTGCCGAATTGAGGAACGAGTGAGACTACTGAAAATAACACGAACCACTACTAATTGTTTGTCAATTAGCTTTTAATTAATTCCAAGACAATTTTTTTATTAATCAAGTTGCGAACATGGTTTTCCACACAAAGAGAGACAGAAAAAAGGGGGAAATCCAAACATGGTTTAATGGTACACTTTAAATCAATGTTATTATATGATTTTGTACTGGTTGAATATGATTGGTACGAATCGATTTTTTGATTAAACTAAAATGATACAAAATTTAATTTTGTTTTAGTTAAATTTTACCTGTTTCAATTAAATTCTAGTGTACAGGTTGATATTTCGATGTATTTGGCCTGTACACCAAAAATTGGCATGCACAAATCAATTCAAATTTTAAAAAAGGTAAATTTCATTTTTATCCTCAGTTTAATGTTTTGCATAATTTTCATCTTTTAATTTTTTTTTATCTACTTTCTTTGTCCATCAACTATGAAAATGTATTTTTTTAGTCCTTCTATTAATTTTACTCTATTGAGTTTGTTTAAATATGCAGATTTTTAATCATTTAACTTAAAGTAGAGAGATGAAAAATATGCATATATTAGAAGTTAAATGATTAAAAATGTGTATTTTTAATCCCTTTTGACAATTTTAGATTTAAACTTTTAGTTCTCAGTATTTATCCGTTGCAATTCTCTCTTCTCAGTAATGTTTTGGTTTTTCTTTTGCATTCTTGTTATACTTAGAAAACATAATTTCTTCCCTTGTGGAAGTATTTTATATTGTGAATTGTATAATATTAAAATCAAAACACTATTATCCTTTTTAATATTATCTTAATGTTCAAAAGAATGAAAAAAATTATAAATGTTTTATAAAGTTTGTTATTTTAAATTTATTTTTAATTTATAAGAATATGAT